GAATATGGTACAGGAATAATTGGTTTACTAAAATAATTAAATATGATCATCATGTGAAATCGTTAAACTATCATTACTACTGTATGAGTATTTATTTCAACACAATTAAACATGTTAAGCACAGCACTATAAGCACAGCATGGTAATTTACAAAAATTTACCCAATTGCTACATAGATGGTCAGTCTATAAAAGCGTGTCAGTTAAAATGTTTTAGAGACTGGTATATTAACCAATATGGTGTTTTAGATCAAATTATTTTAAATTTTCGTAGTAATAAAAAATACACCGATTATTATCTAGATTATAATTATAGTAATTATTTAAATACCATTATGCTCAATAATGTTACTGCTAACTGTAATATTAGATGTATCAAGCGTGTTGATTGTGTGCAACACTATTTTTCTACGAGTAGTAAAATTGTAAAATTAACGGACAATATTGACTATACAATTAACATTGAGATACCGTAAGAACCGAGGGTTATATACGAGATATCATTGAAAATGTCTGCCGAAGAATACATTAGTCTAACGGCGAGTGTTATTAGTCTATGGTTTGGATTCTCTATCATTGCGTTTACGGAAACACTGCAAGAATTATTTGAACATGTTAATTTTAAAATTTATTTGGTTAAACGACCACGGATATCGCCAACAAAGCTAATTAATAATAAAACTACATCCCTAACAGTGATTAAGATTTAAATTAATATAAAGCTATATTGTTAAAAATGTTTTAAACAAATATTGAATTTATTATTAATATAATATACTGTATAATTATTTATACAATATTGTCAACTGGTTTAACAATATTATCGCAATAATGTGTCAGCAATTGGTTGACAGCATTGATGTCCGCATCACTCGATTCACTCATTTCTTCGCATATATTACCAAAAATTTTCAAATGATTTAAAGCATACGTGTTCTGCAAATAATACACCATAATTATTATCTAGATACTATTTAATTATTTTATTCATAATAAACATAATTGCCTTTACCTGTCCTAAAATATAGCATTTGTGATGAAAAGTTTCAACAAGTGTTTTATAACATGATCGATTATTAATCTCTAATTTGTCATTGAGTACAACATTTGTATTAATTCCCGGCATATATTGCGCTAAATTATTGATTAAATCCTCCATTTGTTTGTCCAATAATTGCCGGTTTCTCAACAATACTGATAACTCATCCGAATATCTATTAAATAAATACATTGTTTAAAATAAAATTGCAATTTTAATTTGGATTTATAAATACTTTTGTTTTAGTTTCATATTATTTGACTCTTAAATTTTGCTTTTAAGAAGATATATGGTTGCGTCACGTATGGGCACCAACCATGTTGGTTTAACTTCTATGTTAGGTTGAGAATTTATAATGGGCACATGTTTATTACCTAAATTAAATTTGTTCAATAAAATTATAATAAAATAAATTTTTTAAATAATTCTGTTGTAAATAAAATAATTATCTAAATATTATGTGCTACACAAAGAATTTATCAAATTAACTAACCCATGTAATATGCTAGAGGTTGACTTGCCATAGATAAGTTACCATATTGCTGTGGGTGTTGATAGTTATGCTAAAAATATGTTTACAATATTAAAAATGCACATATTTTTACAAATATAATAAATTATTTACTTTCCAATTATCTATCTCTTTTGAAATGTAATCAAACTGGGTGGAAAAGTTTGTTTTCGTCAAATCATGATGGTCGGTGTGATTAAGCCAAAAAGCGGCAAAATTAATAGCTGTATAAATATAAATTAATAAATTACATACACTTTCTATTGTGTTTATATAACGTTTTTGCTAATTAATAACAAATAAACTTATTAATTAACTTACATAGAGCAGTCTTGTAAATGACACTGCGATCGTTAAACCAGCCCAATTCATCTGATCTGGCAGATGTGATTGCGTACACATTAATATTATCAGGCAATAAATTTTTAAACATTGAGCCTGGTAAAGCAATATAATTGCAGTTAAAATGTTCATTTTTGTAATAGTAGTCAAATATTTAAAAACAATATTTAAAATATATATACCTGAATAACAGGCGCTCAAATAAAACACTAGCTCATTATATTTATGATCCTTATGCATATTAACCAGGGTATCAATTAGATCATGAGCGTGCAGGTTATCATTGGGAAATAAAACAATGCCTATGGTTATAAATGGTTGTACATTAATGCTCACGTAGAATGTTTATAATTTAATGCAACTTACCATCGGTACCATGATCATCTAAATAGACAAATATGCGATCGTTTGGTCCACTTTTGATTACTTTTTTGTTTTTTTTGGCCAATTCATGATCGCCTCGAAGTACGCCTAAAAAGTTCTGTTATATGTGTATGAAATTTATTATTTACTGATTAATTAATTTGTTAAATAATTTGCCATAAATACATCGTTTGATTAAACATGTTTTAAAATGTAATTAAATTTTTAAAATAATTTATACAATTAAATCTATTATAACATACTTGTGGTGTGACATCAGCTCCGGTATAATGTTTAGGCACCCCTTTATAAACGTCCGGTCCATTAGATCTGTTAATTATAACACCGGGGGTCGGGTTTAAGGGATTGTATGCCAAGTCGTCGAAATGCATAACAACTATGTTTTCATCGAGTATTCCGTGAGCTTTAATCATTTGATACGCGGCGTATACGTCGGCCTTTAGGGTAGAAAATTATATTATATTATATTAGAGAGAGAGAGAGAGAGAGAGAGAGAATATTGAAAATAGGTTCAGAACTGCAATTTATAAATTGCAAAAATCTATACTCTATTACAAACATAAATTGTTTTATATTATAATAATGATTATTAATAATTTTATTATTTATTCATGCCGATTAGTATCACCGTTGCATAATTGTTCAATCAACCCTGGTATTTTAGAAATTTTATTATCCGATTGTATTCTTGTGGCTATTTTAGCCAACTTTGCGTTCAACTCGTTATTATTCAGCAACTTATCGATAGCGCCCAACAGCTCAGCCTCAGAGCACCGGTAGGTATCGAGTCGTAAACCATAGCCCAACTCATGCAGTCTCTGCGCGTTATCAAACTGGTCGGCAAACACCGGCAGCACAACCATGGGTTTACCGTAATATAATGTCTCGGTGACCGTATTATTACCACCATGTGTTACTACCAGATCCACTAATGGCAGCACCTGTATCTGTGGCACATACCGCTCGCCCCACATATTAGCACCAGGCAACTCGTACTTATCATGATGCGGACCCTTTGACACAATGAATCGATGCGTTGATTTGGCCAGTAATGCCATTAAGCGCTTGGTGTTTTCCAAATCTGATAAAACCAGTGAGCCTAAACCCACGTAGATCAATTTGCCTGGTTTATTGGATAGTTGTTTAGGTATAGTGAAAGTAGCATGCACATCTTTACGCATCAAGTTGTCTAATTGTAGGCACCGGTCGGGCACTGGTCTCAGGTCTGTGTAGTCCAGTTCGACGGGCAGTGGGTATATGTGTAGGTGTGTTGGTTGGCGCACATACTGGCCGTAATCAAGCGCTGGTAAACCATTGCTCACAAAATAGTCATTAAACTCACGCCATATGTCTTTAATGGCATCGTTTACGGTGTGTCTGAAGTGCGCCCACTCTTTACGGTCGCCATTGGCTGCTAAACCTATGAGAGATAAATTGCAAACATGTAACTTCATGTTATAAATAATAATATACACATACAGTACTGTATACATAATACTCATAAATATGTATAACAATTTTTCAAACATAATATTCTTGATCTCCCGGTCATATGTAACATATTTTATAATACAATTGAATATTATAATTATAATTAACTCTTGATTGTAATCTACTTATAAATATTCATTGTATTCACTTTATTTTAACAATTTACTTAAACTATTTTACCTAACTCATTAAAAAATTTATACAATAAAATAAAATAAATCATAACACAATCGTTGCCATACCTGAGCCGGGAGGTGGTGTGCGCTCGTCGTACAACTGAAACAGTGGATTATAACTGGAAACCCATACCCAGGGTATACCCGAACGCTCCACTGATGCCATGGCCACCACCTGATCAATAAATATCACATCGGGCTGTAAATCGGCGATAGCCTTATCAACAAACGGGTCCATAAGCCGGGACTCCCTTATGCAATGGGGAACCAAGTTGGTCACCCAGGCCACCATGGTGTCAAGTGGCCCGGCTGAGCCAATAATGCCAAAACTTCGCAACATATTAGCCCCGTCGAGGGCGGCGTTGCTACCGGCTTGACGTCCCTGTAGTGGCGGGTATAGTATTTCGTCGATACCGTAGTGTCTGAGTTTGCCCTCCCATTGGGTGTTCATGAGGAACGACACCCGATGTCCGGCTGTTATTAGCTGTTCGGCGATACCAATGCATGCGTTCACGTGTCCGATACCGTCCACTGGAATGAATAGGGCTTTTAATGACTTTTTGGGCATTTTATTAGATTTTTATTTAAGTTAATATTTATTTAAAATGATTTTTATTTCATAAGTTTATATAAGAATATGGTTAATATGCATTTTTGTAGTTTTATTCTATTTATATACTTTTAGCTGCATATAAGTACTGTAGTACTTATTATCTATAGTAGATAAGAACTGTATAATCATATTAATTAACTTACAATGTTAAAGTTTAAGTAAACATTGATATAAAGTTTGAGTGTAATATTTCTTTAGTATTGGCAAGGTTATTTAAGTGCTATACATTTACAATCTAGCATATTTATTAATGCAATTTATAATTGTTTTTACAACACATTTTAATTAACAAATGCAATAAATATATAATTTTATATTCTTATCCCGTTTGTATTAATGTAACAATTTACAAATAAATATG